CCCGCCGCTCCTTGCGGGGCAGCCCCGCGCCCCCATTCATCCGGGGCTTCTCGCGGGGCGGCAGCGGGAGGGCCCTTCTCCTGTTGCGGCGCCTCTAACATGTCTCCTGGCTAATCGCCCTCGCCCCGAGGCCCCGGGTCGGCCCTGGGGCGCCTCCTGCGGCCCCTGCAGCTGCCCGGAGCCGCGCGCCTCCCCCGCGGAGCCGGCTCTAGCCCTGCCCCGGCCTGACTCGAAAGTATTTGTTGGCTGGGGAAGAGGCTGCGACTTCAGGAAGGTTTTGTCAAGTCTGTGCTTGACTCGAGGGTTTTGGCTTTTTTTTTTTTTTTTTTGGTAGCCTGAGTTTCGGGTTTTTTGCTGCTGTTGGTTTTTTTTATACCCCCACCCCGTTTTTTTCCTTTGCGCTTGGACTTGGAGAGCGGCTGCCAGCTTCTCTCTGATGGCCTCTTGTTTTTTTTTAAACCGGGCGAGTGGACCTGGCAGGACCGCAGAGGCGCAGGGCTCTGCGCTGCACACCACATGCGCACGCAGCCTCGTGTGTGGGGACACTTGGCTCGGCCCCGGGGGAGCATGCGAATACTAGTGCGTGGTGTGTGTTCCCCTGGATCTTTTTGAGGATGGCTTCATTCATGCTATCTTGCATGTCTATCAGATAGGATTTTTTTTCTTTTCCTCCTTGCCACTCATGCCTCTTGGCTGTTGTCATAGGGTGATGTCTGATGCACTTTTTTCTATGCCTTTATAGCAAGTTAGGCCTAAAAAAAGAGTTGGGGGGGAGAGAGGAGGGGATTTTCTGAGGCCTTAAACAGGAGTGCCCCTGAAACATCAGCTGTGAGTAGCGAGCAGTTGATTTCCCTGAAAAAGGCAAGGGGTTTAGGAAATCAAACGGGAGAGGCTCCGATTGGGGGTCTTCTGTGGAAACAGTAATGGAGCAGGCTGGTGTGGCCCTTCCCGTCATGGAGGAGTCTCGTGTCTAGGATGTGGATCAGCTGCTGTGTGGGAGCGCTGGGCTGGGCCGGTTCTCCTGGCAGTGGCTGTGTCCTGGCGCAGCGCAGCCTTGCTGCAAGGTGCCTGCAAGTTTCAGACTGCAGGGACACGCCCTGTTCAGCCTGTTGCTTCCCCCTCTCTGCCCAGGGGCATGGTTTTATTTTTGGGACTGCTTCAAAAGCACATTTGAAAGCAGCTCTGGTACTTTAGGTCTCCTCCAACCCTGTGATTTTGGGTATAAAGAGTTGCCTATGGATTCAGGGTTTGCTGTTGGCTCTGTTTTTGGCTTCAGCAAAATGATGCTGGAATATGGATGTAGCTAGCCACGTGTGGAGCTGCAGGCCTGCCAGATTAAGGCAACAAGCTACCAACCACTAGTTTTCTAGTTGGGTCCCACTTCTCTCCTAACTGCAGACATAAATGAAGTGACATTTTTAGTGGTACAACTTTAAATGTTACTTCCTGAGCTGTGGTTAACAGGAAATGTTGAAACTGTTCTCTGTGTGAGCAAAACATGACTAGTATTTGAAAATGTTGGTAGCAAAACTGCTCAAATTCAGAGCCACGTTATTTATTTATAGTCAAGGTCAAATGTGGGTGAAAGCAAAGTGTTTGGATGTAGCTGCACTGTGGGACTCATCACAAAAATAAATCCGTTGTGGAGGAGCCAGGTGGAAGAAGCTCAGTGAGCGTTTCTAGCTTGGCAGGGGAAAAAACTGCCTTTTAAAGTGTTGTGTGATAAGATTGGTAGGGCCTCACAGAATGTGCTGATGTGGGCACTGTTTGGTCTAAATAGCAAAACCTCTCAAGTCTGTGTGTTCAGCGAGGCTAAATTTTAACCTGCTGGGATAGGAATTGCTTTTCTTTCAACCCTTCCACTAATTTAGAATTGGCCAAGTGGCACGAAACTTTGGTGCACCATTAATCAGCCCAGTTTTGCTCTGTTTAACCCTTGAACCAGTGACTTGCTGTACTTGTGCGGTAGTGTCTGGGCCTGGGCTCCGGGGATGGGGATGGTCGGCTCCCAAAGGGCCTGCTCGAGAAGATTGCTTGTGAGGATTTTGCAGGATATACTGAAAGTCCATTGTGGAAAATGCCTGTTGCACTTTCCCCCTTGAAGGGGTCTGGCAAGATCATTTGGCTTCGTCCTTGCCTTTGGAATGCTATTGTAAAGGGTGTTGTTGCTTCTCCATTGTCGCTTGTTTTGAAGGGTTTGTGTGATCCGAGTGGTTAAGGATTGCACAGAAGTGAGTGACACCTCTTTTTCCAATACAGGGAAACTGAAAAAGTGTAGCTGAGTTCTAAAAGTTTTTCCCCCCAGCAAGTCATCCTGAAAAACTGCCCTTCCTTTTTGCCAGTAGAGGCCTCCTTATTGGCCAAGTGAGATGAGCTAATCTCACAGTGACTGGCTAGAGCTCCTGTCCTTCACTCTAACCCTATCATGTTTGGTGGAGCTGAAACTGCTCTTTTTCAGATTTTAATGGGATGTTACTATGGAAGCTTAGTTTAAAACCTTATTTAATCACATTTAATTATTTTTAAAAATTAGTTTCAATGTAACAGGAGAAGTGGGTACCACTTGCTTTGTAGAGCTGAGGGCTTGTTTTTTTCTTGGTATCCCAATAATAGAAAAATAGTATTTTTAATACAAGATGTTCCACTTGTAAATAAATCAGAAGTGCACTGGGTCTGTGACTGAATGAATTGGGTACTGTACCTGTGTCAAACTGCAACAAACAGTATCAAAGATCACTCCCCCAGGAAGTGTTCTACCGTTAGACGAGGGAGTCTCCTCTAATCTGAACAAGATGCTCATTGCTCCTGAGACTTGTAGCTTTGTTAAACAGTTTTTAGTTCTTAATTATTCTAAATTCTTACTTATGCTACTGAGAAATGGGATTAGCCTGAACTGTTTCTTTACAAAATATGGAAAATTTCTGTTGCCCTTTGTAGACCCAAGTCAATCAGATTTTTTTATAAACAAGGCTGAGTTAATTCTTGGCTATTCTGTGTTGGAGGCACTTGAAATATTCCTTTCTAGTAAGTGTTGTATGGAGTAATGGCTCCTGGATTCTTTGCATTGATCTATATGTTAGAAACCACTATTTGGAAAAACATGGAAGCTTTTCATAAAGAATGGGGACATTCTAGGGTTTAATTTGTTCATCAAGTTTTTCTTCAATGCTAGCCTGTGGCTTATTCTCTTTATATTCTAGCTACACTGTAAAGACCAGAATGGCCAGGTTTTTTCCTGTCCTAATTTCTCTTTTTGGTTTAACCTGGGGGCCTTACCTTTCAGTTTTGTCACCTTTTTTGTTAAAGGTCCTTGTACTTGGTCTCCCTTCTATTCCTTGATATTGTACAGCTCTCAATTGCCTTTATTCAGCTAAGAGGGGCCCAGTTTCTCTCTCTCTTTTTCTTTTTTCTTTTTTTTTTTTCTTCCTTGAGCTGTGCTCAGGATTTCTGATTACGCTGTTACTATATGCAGTGCTTGTGTCCAGACTTGTTTTGGTTTGGGGATCCTGCCTACCTCTTAAAAAGCATTGCCAAACATTGATTAGTTATGGGTGCCCAGCTGACTAGTTTGACAGCCACTTGTTTGCATGATTTGTACTCTGCCTTTTAATAGACGTGATAAAGCCCCAAAGAAAAGGTTCCAGAGAGAGCACTAATACTTTAATTTTCAGGAAGACATATTGGATGAATAGATACATTGAGTAACCCTAAATGATTTTGAAGTTCATGTTGCTATTAGTTACATCAAATGCTTGTGGAAACTTTTAGGTGTGCTACTGTATCTTGCTCGCTGGTAGCTTGTATCAAAATGGCTATTAACTGTTTTTATGCTGTTCTGTAAGTCTTTTTATTTATTTCTTTTTCCTCCCCTACTGGATGGGGACAGAGTACCTGGGAAATGCAGTTTTATCTTGATTTTTTTTTTTTTTTTTTTTTTCTAGAAGAAACTGTTTAAATGGATAAAAGTAACCATAAAGATGGTCACGGTCTCAAATTGTGCCCTCCCCCACCTTTGCTACTTATGTTGGGCAAATGAAGTGGTGGGTACCAGGCTAATAATGAATAAGTCATTCAGTGACTAAATAATTATTCTAAAAATTGGCAGTGGAAGATGTTTGTAATAAATCCTGCTTCATGATGCCTGGATGCAGCAGGGGCATTATTATTATTATTATTACTTGATGCTACTAAGCTTATGTATGGCAGGTGATCTAGATCTAGTAGAAACAGTACTAGTTTTATTTTTTTTTACTTTGGGTCTCTGCCATTGAAGAAGTAATACTTCACTGGGGTTGCAAAATTCTGTTGAGTATTGAATCAAAGATCAATACTAAGTACCACCCTAACTGACTTGTTGTGGCATAAATGAAGTGGCTTTTATGTAGTTAATGAGCAATAAGAATACCACTGACTGCATATTTTGGAAGCCTTAATTGCTTTGAGGTCATTCTTTTCCTTTATTTTCTTTTGCTGCATTTTTGTTTTAAATTTGGCTTAACACCGTTTGATAGAAAAGTAGTCTGCCCATTTATACCGCTTGTCTTGTCTACAATAAATAAGAGTTTAATTTTAAAACATTCTGTTTCTAGTAGTAAAGCTAGTCAGATGCAGAGCCTCTACACATCTGGAGTGGTCTGTCTTGTGGGAGTGGCAACTTACTTTTTCTCAAAGTGGAGTGATGCAGGTGCTAGGGCATGTGCCTGGCAGCCTGAGGTCACAAGTTCAAGGTCATAGTAGAAGCAAGTGACCCTGTCAGGTTCCAGTGAATTGGCAAATTCTGCTAAATACCTTGTTGTAACAGGAAAGGTAGGGACAGATGAATCAAAGATTTGACAGAGAATATTTATAGGGAAGGCCTGGTTCATGTTGGCTCATCTGGAGAAATTGCTTGTTTAAACCTTGTTCCCATCTCTCGACAAAGGGCTTGAAAGAAGAGGGAGAAAAGGGGTTACAAGAGCTTGTTTTGTGCTTTTTTTAGCTTCACAAAAGTTGAAGAGGGAACACATTTTTGTTTGCTTGACAAAGCTATTAAAGCTACTTGGTTTTGATAAACTTTGTATTGTATCCTCTCCTCGTTTGCATCTATAAAAGAAGAATTCTAGGTACCGTGACCAAGTCATGCTGAAAATGTCAATTTGAGGACACACTTTCTGGACAGTGACCAAAAAGCATGTCCCAAGTACCCAATCATATAACCTTTTTTTTTAAACTTTTTTTTCCCCCTTGACCTGAATTGCAAGCAGCTCCTTTGTTGTGGAAGCTGGGCCTGAAGTATTTTCCCTTTCACTCCCTCTGCCGCCCCCCCAACTACTGCTGCTTCATGTGTCTGACTTAATTCCTTCCGGAGGTCAAGAAATCCGCCTTTAAATATTCCTCGTAGGAAAGCAAGATGCCTTAATACGGAGTCCTTTGAACAGGAAAGGGCACGGCTGCCTCCAGAGGAAGCCCTTTATTTTGGATGTCTTGCTTGTAATGTTCAGTGTGAAATCTGGCTGCAGAGCACTTGACTTTTGGTACATAGCACGTAATGCAGCAGGCTAATTGGAAAACTTGCCCATTCTTAAAGAACTTATTTTCAC